TGTAGAAAATTTCAATAATATAGGTGTGGTAGAATATTTGAGAGGCTTGGCTTACAATTATAATATGGATGCGTAGGACTGTATTATTTGTATGTAATAATATTTGTAATATATTTTTTTAATAACATAAATAAAACAATAAATAATATTTTCCACATAAAATATTTGTGTTTCATTTATTTTTCAAGTATCTAGATTACAGAGTGGTCCATTTAACTTGACAGTCTAATATCTCGAAAACTTCAAAAAAAAGTTTTATAGTTTCATGGGGGAAAGAAAATGGTATAGGGAAATTATTAAAATAATGGATGCACGTCATCAAACTAATTTATGATATAGGCATGTCGCAATGTTGCCGCATCAACTTCGTTTTACTTTGACATACCATGTCTAGTAAACTTTGTAATTTTCCAAGGTTACATTTTTATTAACAAATTGACAAGAATCACTAATACCAAACAAAAAAAAGAAATTCCATTAATATAATTTTATAGCAAGTACACTTAAATTATATCCTATCAATCCCCAACTCGTAAAAAACCAAGGTTACATTTTTATTAATAAATTGATAGGAATCACTAATACCAAAAAAAAAAAGAAATTCCATTGATACAATTTTATAGCAAGTATTATATCCCAACTATCAATTCCCAATAGGCCTCTTGCATCAAATTTTTTTATTGCTGATTTCGATAGTCCATGAAAAAATAAGTCAACACGTCGTGTTTTTTCTTTTTCTTGTTAGTCAAAAATTGACGGAGATACAACGCTATGAAATATGCCAATGACGTCACTTATCATATAAATTAGTGACGTCACACATGCTCAGTATATCTATATATACAAAACTTAATAATTGTATAACTTCCGGAATAAGCATATTTGGGCAAAATAAAAAAATACGTATCGATTTTTTTCGATTTCCTACAGTTTGCAATAAACAATAATCAATTTAATTTTCCATGCAAGTACCCTATTCGTTAAAAACTGAAAATAAACCTCAAATTATTGAAATCAATAACCGAAGATTTGCAGAAGGCAACTTTTGGCAACATTACCCACGAGTGCCGTTCTAATCCCATTTTATAGGCAGATTCAGTTATATGATCCGACAGCATTCTATCTCTCTTCAACTAGGGTTAAACAAAAAAAAAAAGCGATCTAAGTTTAAAACGAATTTTAATTTCTTACAAACTGCAAGTGGTAATAGTTTCGACGTCATAGATAGAACTGCATCCATTAATTTCACTATAGCTAATATGTTTTCAATTATTTGCGCCATAAAGTCTTCGCGCCAGAATGTACCTGCGCCAAATAGGCTTCGCGCCCGGAAGGGTCTGCGCCACAACGGACCCGCGCCATAAGGGCCGCGCCAGAACGGCCGCGCCAGATCGGTCGCGCCAGAACGTCCTTAAATTATGTCCATAACGCATGTTGTAGATATTGGAATTTATAGATTTTTTTATATTTTTTCCTACGAGCGTACGGAAAAAGCTCTTTTTCCACTCGCATTGGCTTGTAGAAAGAGTAATTTTTCCGCACTAGTGTGGAAATTTTTTTCCGCACGTAGTTGCGTCGTAAATGAAGAAATTCCTACGATATCCACCAATGGTGAATGGTGAATGTATAATTTTCAGCAGATTGTAAATTTAGCAAAAGCAAATGTTAAACAAATAATGTTGCAGATTCTATCTAGAAGTAACCACTAATAGTAGAAGCTTTGGGAAGGAATTTGCATCAGCGATAAATTTACAATCTGCTGAAAATTGTACATTCGCCATTGAAATTGTCAATAGTAATATAACGAGCGCAATGGAAATTATCGATAATTTTTGGGAAATTTGCCTGAATGCATTTTTAGTTGAAAAAGAGCACGAGTGCACGTAGAGTGCACGAGTGCCTTTTTCACTTAAAAACGCATGAGTGCAAATTTGTCGAAAATTATAGATATATTTCCATTGCAAGAGTTGTATTTTATGAGAGAATTTCATGAATCAAAAATTTAAATTTTTTGTCAAAAAATGTCAAAACACCAGTTCTCGCACCAGTTACTATGCAATTATCTGATAATTTGCACTGGTGCAAATTATCGCGTAATTCCAATATGATTGGTTCAAATCAACAATAAAAACATGTCAGTTTGTTGTTGGTATGTCAGTTTTGACAGATCTATGAAATTCTCAATAGTAATATAACGAGTGCAATATAGAAATTATCGATAATTTTTGGAAAATTTGCACGAATGCATTTTTAGTTGAAAAAGTGCATGAGTGCACCAGTGCCTTTTTCAGTTAAAAACGCATGAGTGCAAATTTGTCGAAAATTATAGATATATTTCCATTGCTCGAGTGTTTATGAGAGAATTTCATGAATCAAAAAATTAAATTTGTTGTCAAAAAATGTCAAAACACCAATTATTGTGCAATTATCGCGTAATTCCAATCTGATTGGTTCAAATCGACAAACAAAACATGTACCTACTGACATATCAGAACTGTATGACAGGTGTAAGAAATTCTCAATGGTTATGTATAACGAGTGCAATGGAAATTAGCGACAATTCCACTCATGTATAAATTATCCCATTTGAAATGTCAAAAATCGTAGTTTGCTAGCGGATAAATAGGAAGGAAGAGAAAATATAACTGGATAAAAAAATCGGATAAATTTTCTGTTGATTAAATCGTTACCGTAGTAACAATTGCATATAAAATTGGTTTTTGAATCATCTGTCAAATAATTGTCACAAAAATTCACAAGTTCTATCATTTTAGCTTATTAAAAGTGTATTTTTAAATAAAATTAAAAATATTTTCAACACGCAGCGATTTGGGACAATTAAAGATGAATTAATTGCGAAATAGAAAATTCAATTCCTGAGAACACAGAGTCTTCTTCTCTTTCTGTAGAGTCAAATTGTAAGGGGAAAATATTTATTCTAATTGTACCTTCAATAACTGTTCATTTTAAAAAGTATTTCCATATTTTATTTTGATTATGCATTCGTGGAATTGCCGTACTAAATACCATTCGAGCTCAGATTTTGAGCAGGATATTTTTTTGCTTGCTCTCTTATACTTACTTTCATGCAATTTATCTCGATCTGTTCCACAAAATCACTCGAGCTGCGCTCTCGTGATTTTGTCGGAACAGCTCTCGTTAAATTTCCTAAAAGTAAGTATTCGAGACCAAGCCAAAAAATATCCGGCTAAATCTGAGCTCTTATGGTATTACCTACGATAATTTTTGGTCAATTTGCCTGAATGCATTTTTATTTGAAAAAGAGCCCGAGTGCACGAGTTTTATTTTATAGGAGAATATCATGAATCAATAATTTTTTTTTAAATGTCAAAACACCAGGTAGTGTGCAATTATCACGTAATCACAATCTGATTGGTTTAAATTAACAATCAAAACATGTCAGTTTATTGTTGGAATGTCAGTTTTGACAGATGTGTATCGAATTCCCAATAATAAATAAAAAATGTTTCTAATTGCTCAATAAAGATTCATATTTGTTTTTATTTTTGTGTTTTTTATTGTCTGCTTGTAGGAAAAATTATGTTCCTAACACGTGCGGAAAGTAATTTTTCCGCACTTGTTGAAAAATAACTATTTACATCTTCTTTTTTATCGGACTTTGGTACCTACCTACCTATGCCAAACATTAGATCTACGAGAAGCTTCATTTTTTTCCAGACGACAGCAATGATTGCGTAACTTACTCGGTGGATTCATACTAAGGGCTTCTAAAAGCCAAAAGAGGCACCAGTTTATTTATGCCAGGCACACTGGCGTCCAGCAACTAACAGCGACAGGTATTGATTAATTGCGTCGAACTGTGGATAGGTTCTGGTTTTCCTTATTCCGAGTAACCTCATCAGTTGTTGTCATACTTCGTAGTCTGTCTTCATCTTTCTGTTTTTCTTTCAGTCGTCTGTTGTCTTGTGAGATCCAGGCTTTGGAAGCGGAGTGAAATGTTGATAATTGATCATTTGCAAAATGTAATCTCTCTGAGCATCAGCTGAGAGACAAGTGGTCTGCATTTTGCGGTGTTCAAAAATGCGACAATAATTAAGATCTCACCTAATTCACTTAAAGCTGCAAGTTGCGTTTTTTTTCTCATTCATTTATTATTCGTTGCCCTATTTTGGCGACCAATACCAATCACCGACACCAGGGAATTTAAAAGTTTTGCCGAACTCATCTTTGTCGATGGTAGGAATCTTTTTCGTGCATCACATCAATGATACACGGGACTAACAGTTTTACATCGGTTTCCGAAAGATGGCGTTTCTTGCTTAAGTAAACCAAATTCCAAATATTAACATCCACGTTGACCAGCCCAGGGATGGAACCCGGGCCTGGATGGCAATAGGCAGAAACGCTAACCTGTCTACTTGATAGCTTTGCGAAATTTTCTGTAGCCTTTATTGTTTTTCATTTTGTCGCCTGATGTTATCAAATCTGGGAGCATTTTATAAAAAAGAGAACACCTTTCTACTCATCATGGTAGCTCTGGTAGCTCAATATTGGAATCCTGAAAATGGATCATGTGAGTGAATCAGTACTTCAGTCAGTAGCTATGTGATCTTTAAAATTAAAGCTGCGCTAACTTGTCTGATGGTCTAATATAAACTACATTTTTTGTTGGAGCTTAACCGCTTCGGATATTGGCGAGATTTTATTCCATTTATAAGAATTTATACACCAACATTTTCCAAACATACCTATGTTTCAGTTTATTTCTTAGTATCGTCTGAGCTAACTGATTTCGCATTATTAGATTGATATTTGCAAGCATCATCATTGGGGAGTTCTGCTTTTTTGGACAAAATTATGTTAGATGGAGGACGAGGCATATTTTATTTATTTTTTTTTCTGTGTGGAATGAACTTTACTGTATAGTTCCTCATTGTCAAATCGATCACCCTGTACCTACATATTTTGCTATTTTTTTTGTACACAAAAAATTGTTAACAAATGTTTGAATTTTTCAGCAACTTTTTTAAAAATCTGCCACAAATCGGATACACATTTCAAACAATGTCTCATAGACTCAATAGAAGCCCTAAAACCACTAATGTCCAAAGGAATACCTGAATTTGGAATACCGAAGTGTGAGCCTTTAAGAATTGCTGAGGTCCAAGTTGACCTAGGAAATGGTCCAGTTTCAGTTAAATCCAACTACAGAGACATTAAAGTTTATGGCCCATCGGACTTTTCAATCAAGAACATCAAGTTGGTTAACAGAAAAACATTGAATGGTCTTAATTCTGATTTAATTCTAGGGTGGACTTGGATAAGGACAGGTTGAAAATCAAACTGTACATTCCGAGATTGGAAGTAAACACCAATTATACCATGAATGGAAAAATTTTAATGATGCCTGTAACTGGCACAGGTTTAAGTTTTGGCAACTATAGTAAGAAAAAAATAACAAATTTCAGGTTTTTTCGGTAATTTAAAAAAAAAATATTCCAGCCAACATCGACGCTACAATGTCAATGGCAGCCAAAAAAATTAAAAGAGATGGTGAAGTCTTTTATAATATCCAAGAATGCTATATCGATTTCAATATTGGCCATGCGAAACTGAGATTCGAAAACATGTTTAATGGGAATACCGAATTAGGTAAATTACAATTTGCAACGACGCGCTCTAGATTCTGGATAATATATTTTTTAGGGGATGCAATCAATTTATTCCTAAATGATAATTGGAAAACTGTTGCCAGTGAAATCAAACCTGTGCTAGAAGAAAAGATAGCGGAAATATTTAAAAAGTTTGCCAATAAAATATTCCATAAGTATCCTATCAGCATGCTTTTTCCAGAATAGAAATGTTAGAATATTTTGCTCAATAAACCTTTAATGAAGATGCATCACTTTGTCAATTTTTTTACCTTTATAATTCATTTTTTGTCCGATTGTGCTCATTTTTATACAGTTTAGCAAAGATAAAGGGCTACTTTATTGTCCTACTACAATAAAGTACCTACCTACTACCTTATCTCCACTAAAGCTACTCTATTTTACTATGGAGCTGGGTACCTATATGGTACATGGTTTTAGAGAAATACATAAATACAAAATCAATTTCTTTTTCAATGGGGTTCGAGAGCAATCGTACATAAAATTTTGAAGGATATGCCTATATAAACTGAGCTCTATTATTGGTCTCGTGACTTTATAGTCTCGCTCGCAAGCTCGCTTGGCCATAAAAAACTGAACCAATAAAGCTCTAGTTTAACCATACTTAGTATTGGAAAACGTGGAGATACTACGCACGTGGTTGGCACTCGAATAATTTAAGTGATTGAGCGATCGGTTTTCTTGACAGATAAACATTAATTAGGCGTCATTTGTCAACCAGTTGATCTCAACTGACGTTAAATGCATTGCTTATCTGTCAAGATGACCGACTACCACTAGATGTTAGATTTAATTTTAATTGATACAAATAAGGATTACCCACGCCACACTTATCAATAAAACTCAAAATGCTACCACTAAAACAAATCAAATCAAATCAAAAAATACTTTATTATCCAAGAAATCAAATTTCTATTGACAAAGCGTGTTATCGAATGTAATACCACAAGAGGTTTCAGGATTACCGGATAATACTTTTACATGTCACGAAACGCGTTACGCAGCAACACTACGACTCCGAAGGAGGAGTGGTGTTGCTGGTAACGCATTGAGTGTCAGGTAAAAGTATTAGGTAATCTTGAAACATCGAGTGGTATTCGGAAGGTTATACAACGAACTAAACTTCAATATTTTATTAATTTTTATTGGCAAATGAACAATATTGCCACTAAGCGCGATAATCCCAAAAGGCTTATCACTTATTAAGCCTCTCGTGTCATATGGGAAGAATGTACAGTGAGTTGTATAACCATCTTAATTTTAAATTCTCCAAAGTACAATAAAATTATAAATAAAAATTGCAATGCTAAGGTAGTCTAATATACATATAGGTAATATAAAATGCATTAAAATGGAAAGAATAAAAATTTAAAATCGTTGAAACTAAAAAGGATAAAAGAACTAGGTAATACAAAATATACCACACAAAAAAAAAACAACATACCTACCTACCTATAGAGATTAGAAAAGCCTCACATAAGGTTGTCTGTAAAAAAATCTTCTAGGGTATAATATGCCTCAGACTTAACGTAAATTGGTAGATGGTTGAAAAAAATTCTGCCATTATAAATAACTGACTTTTTTTTTTATTTCTTTTGTTGGAATCGGCAGATGCAGATCAGTTGAGTGCCGAGTGCCATAAGGATTAGTAGCTCCCTGAATCTGGATGCTTGGTCTATTTTTATAAATCAGTGAGGACGTCTCAAGGATAAACAAAGAGCCATGATGTCAGGATATTCTGCGACCGGAAATGGGGTCTACAAGAGTCTCTTTGTCCAATGTTTAATATAAAACGAATTGCTTTCTTTTGCAGAATGAACAATATAGTTAAAAGATATTGACTACTATTGACTACCTACGTACTAACATTTACTAACCCTAGCAAATTTATCAGCGTGTAATTTTTTTTAGAAAGAGGAGCTTTCGTTAAGACATCCGCTAGCATACCATCAGTAGATAAATACTTCATCTGTTTAACCTTATTTAATGTCTTACTTCACGAATAAACTGATGACGTAGGTACATCTATATATTTACTTGTGATACATAGAATTTTCCGTTAAATTTATCGCGCTTTGATTACCAATAAGTCAAGTGATACAAAATACATCTCTTGTCAACTCTTCCAATAGTCTCTTCAAATATAAAGCTTTCTTAGCTGCTTTGGAAATTGACATATGTTTATTCAGCCTCGGTGCTTGACGGTGCAACTGTTTTTTGCTTAGAGCTTACCCAGGAACTCACAAACAGAACTACAAAGCTTGAAAGCATACCCTGTGTATGATTTCCGATCCACTGTGTTACTTGCCCAATCGGCAATCAGCATCTACAAAACCTTGTTTGGGCATGCAGATAAATTTTGATCGAGAGCAAGGGGCAATAACTTTCGACTCAAAAAAATTATACTACTTTCTTACTAAAGAAATTTATTAGGTACCTATGCTGGATGCCAAAACAGTTAAGACTGACTGCGGATGAAAGTTATTCAAACGAAGGTAAGGCTAAGTATCCCTATATCCCTATATCAGAAATTAAAAAATAGCCTTCATCCACATACAAAGTGATTATTGTGATTAAATTACTTTCCCTTTTTATGTAAATACAAAGGCTAATACTTTGATTTTTCATGATTCAACTTCAATAAAACATCTTAAACACGATCATTCCAAGCCCTGGATGACTGGTTGAGTCCATATACACCCTTTTCAAGCTTCAGCTTCAAAGATTTATCATCTTCAGGACAAACGAAACATTCTGGTACTTATTAGCACATAAGCCATCTTCTTTCAGAAAGCCGTTTAGGAATGCGGAATGCTGTCTGTACAGGGTGGGCCAAATTGGATACTTTCTTATGGAAACACCCTTTATTTTTAGAGATAGAAAAAAATGGACCCCCCACTCTGAGCCTCAAATTTCATGAAATCTTGATTGGTGCAAACCGCATTTTGATATCTTCAACCGTTTAGCCGCTAGAGGGCGATTCTCGATTTTGAGCAATACTGTAAAGCCTCCATAACTTTCTTGTTTATGAAAATAATTCATTTCCGTAAAGACCTTTTGGAAGCACTTTTTCAAGCAGAATTTAGTGACATTCTCAGTTTTTTTCTGTCTGGCTTCGATTTCGAGATATTGACCAAAATCCGATTTTTTTCAATAGGACACTCTATATATTAATAGTTCATTAGAAAGCTATGCATAGCTGATTTTAATGATACAAGGTTTGATAGGTTTATCTCTAACAGTTTTCGAGAAAAAAAATTATTTCGGTTTTTGTCATAAGAAACAATGTGTTGGAAAAGGACTTCATCTCTGTAAGGAAACTGAGAAAGGTCTCTTTCTTACACATTGTTTCTTATGACAAAAACCGAAATAATTTTTTTTCTCGAAAACTGTTAAAGATAAACCTATCAAACCTGTATCATTAAAATCAGCGAAAGCATAGCTTTCTAATGAACTATTAATATATAGAGTGTCCTATTGAAAAAAATCGGATTTTGGTCAATATCTCGAAATCCAAGCCAGACAGAAAAAAACTGAGAACGTCACTGAATTCTGCTTGAAAAAGTGCTTCCAAAAGGTCTTTACGAAAATAAATTATTTCCATAAACAAAAAAGTTATGGAGGCTTTACAGTATTGCTCAAAGTCGAGAATCGCCCTCTAGCGCCTAAACGGTTGAAGATATCAAAATGCGGTTTGCACCAATAAAAATTTCATGAAATTTGAGCCTCAGAGTGGGGGGTCCATTTTTTTCGATCTCTAAAAATAAAGGGTGTTTCCATAAGAAAGTGTCCAATTTGGACCACCCTGTACATCAAGATGATCAATACCTACCAAGCTTTACTGATAATGCGAATAGTAATCTCAAGCTAGTATATCTTCCTACAGGAGCAAAAGTTTCCTCTTTCCTCATAGTCAATTGCCTTTGAATAAAATCTTTGGTTTCACTATCGAACCAGTTTTTGGCCACTCTGCTGCCAAGCACCATTCGCTTCAAAACTATTCAGTTCTTCTGACAGTGCCTTTTCCACATGTGAGCCTCTAATCTGGACATACCTTCATCTACAGTCTGCAGATCTTTTTTTACACATGTAAGTCACAAAATCATCCATTATTTAGGTTTCGGAACTCTTTGTGAATATCTTCTTACTTCAATCGGATTTATTTTACAAACTCTTCATTACTAGAATCTTCTGATGTACGTATTCGGCCATCGACGTCGTTACAATTATTTTCAATATCTGAATCAGTATGTTCCATTTCTTATACAGGGTGACAATTTGAAAAGTAGCAATCGGGAATATCTCTTAGACAAAAAATACTACCAGGAAGATCTCAAATACGTATCGGGGGATTGGAGGGGGAACCAAAATGAAGAACTTTTTGGGTCACCCCGCCTCACCCCTTAGGGGGTAGCTACCCTAACTTATTTTTTTTTCAAATACGAACCTTGTGTGGCACATCGTTTGATAGCTCGTTGCTATCCCTTTGCAGTCATATAGCAAAAAACTTAAATCGGACGCTTCGTTTTTGATATATCGGTGTTTAAAAATGAGCATATTTTGAAAACTAGTAATTTTGACATCCCTTAGTGCGCGTTCACATTGACACCGCTCGAGCGGTGAGCGTTGCGCGATGCCGCTGTAGTGATGCCCAAAAATATTTTTTTTTAACATTATATTTTAAATGAACATGTTCACACTGGAGCGGCGCGTCCAGCGGTGTTAACATGTTCATTTGAAATAAAATGTTAAAATTATTTTTGGGCATCGCTACAGCGGCATCGCGCAACGCTCACTGCTCGAGCGGTGTCAATGTGAACGCGCACTTAGACAAAAGAATTCTGTCATAAAAGTGTCAAATACACATCCGGGCAACCAAATGTGTTTATTGCCTTACCCCCACTCCCTTATCTTGGGTGCTAGCCGCTCCTAGTAATTTTTCAAAAATGAGAACCTACCCCGTGTGATAGCTCCTTTAAAAGGGTCTTTATTCGTCTTTAGAGACGTGCGGAAGCAGATAGAATTACGATAAACACATTATTTGGTTTCGACGATGTGTATCCGAAACTTTATTGATAGAATTTTTTTGTCTATGAGATAGTCAAAATTGCTTATTCCCAAAATATAGGCTCACTTTCAAACACGGATATCTCAAAAACTAATCGTCCGATTTAAGATTTTGCTATATGACTGTAAAGGGATAGCAACGAGCTATCAA